TATATATATATATATATATATATATATATATATATATATATATATACATATATATATATATATATATATACCATCACATATGCACACAAATGTATATGCCCATATCTTCTATTTTTGTACTCGCTGGCAGGCAAGTTAACGTCGGATGGCTCGTTTGTGGAGGAGGTGCGCGCGTGCTTTGAGACTATGGCCATGAAGATAGAGGGGTTGGTGGTTAACAGCACACAGGACATCCCCACATTTGTTACCAGCCGCATGATGCACGCCATGGTGGCGCATTTAAGAGCGTATCGTGAAATGGTAAGACCCCTTTTTCCGTGTGTATATGTGTGTGCGTTTGTGCGTGTGTATATGTGTGTGCGTTTGTGTGCGTGTATATGCGTGTGCGTTTGTGTGTGTGCGTGTGTGCGCATTTGTATGAGTATATGTGTGTGCGTTTGTGTTAGGGGTGTGTATGTGTGTATTATGAAGAAGGAGCGCGCAGTACCACCCGGCGCAGAATTGATTGGCAAAACAATTAGTCGAGTCGAATGGTGTATACTTTGATGGCGTTGTCAGGCGAGGACTAAGTATTGGTAGTGAGATTACGTGAGTGTTCGTGTGTGAGTATGGATGTGGGTATGTATGTGTGTGAGTATGGATGTGGGTATGTATGTGTGTGTGTGTGTGTGTGTATTTATATACACTTCCATTGTAGCATGTGCACACATCATTTCCAAACAATAAACGCAATAGTGGTGCCTAGCACCCAAGTGTCCCTACGCCTGCAGTCATTCGCGGTAGGCACACTATAGGGCTACACCTACGGAAGTTCCTCGCGATGTCGCGAAAGTGCACATGAATTGAGAATGTATGTATGTGTGCGCTTGAGTGTGTACGCAGTCGGAGCTACCACGTTGTAGATAGCGACATGAGTGTCTTCATGGGTATGACATACACACGCACCCTTTTGCGCTGATGCGTACGTGTGTTGGTTGTTGGCCCGCATGTATCCGGCCCGAATGTGCATGGCCAAGCCAACCGCGGAGAGGTGTACATATATGTCTCTGTACCTAGATGAGGGATACACTCAGGTATATAGTTAGAACGGCATCTATTTATAGAATGCAACAACTCGTGAGCGCACACGTGGCACCCGGGGTTTACGCACAGATACACCCCACAATACACCAGTCAATCAATTGCATGTGTTAACGTACGTCCATGCACAGTATCTCAGTAGCATCGTCCATGCCTGTACACACACATATGCACATAGCCTTGCCCTTATCAGTAAACGCACCTGCACGCAGCACCGTTACACGCGCACACTTACATACTACGCGAAGGAGAAGGCGTTGGAGCGGACGAGCGGAGGTTGATATCACAACTGTGTGCAGTTGTCGTTCGACTCGATTAACTCGTTGGATTTGACACACGACGAGAGCATAACCCTATGACATCACAATAGAGTAAAACTCTTTGACATCACACAAGAGCAACCCCTATGACATCACACAAGAGCAAACCCTATGACATCACACACGAGCAAACCCGATGACATCACACAAGAGTAAACCATTGTGGGTAACCATTGTGGGTAACCATTGTGGGTAACCATTGTGGGTGACCATTGTGGGTGACCATTGTGGGTAACCGTTGTGGGTAACCATTGTGGGTGACCATTGTGGGTGACCATTGTGGGTGTCCGAGACAACTTAACTTCCTTGCAATGGGACTGTCTGTTCAGGTCACTTCCTTCAAGTTACAGTCGGCCGCAGTTCGTGTTTTCTTGACATTTGCCTTTGCATGTGCATCACGTCCATATAAACACACGTCAGCACTACACACGCACCAACCGATCATCTGTTTTTAAATGTGTACCAATACTCGACCGCCTGTTTTTAACTGTGCACCAATAGGAATCATCCAGCATGTCGTCAGAGCTATATTTCCAAACTCCGAAGGGCCAAGCATACCTCCACTTTGCGGCCAGAAGTCCGAAAAATGAACGTCAGTACTTGAAACAGCTGGGCGAACTCATGGCTGCCCAATATCTCCCGGTACGTGCCACGCTCACACTTAAGGTTTATTAAAAAAAGACGCCATTTGAAGAGACACCTTTGATCATACAACAGGAAGTGATGCCACGCAACTGCTATTCACTTGTACTGTACGAAGAGTTGGTGAAGATCTGGTCGTGTGATCTGAGCTAGAAAGTGCAGGTAGCATAGTGCAGATAGGCACAGCATAACACCTGCCCACCCTCACATGGACACCTGTCACTCTCATACGCACGCCCTATATTTTGCGTGTGTTCTTATACAAATACCTTAGTATCAGCCATAGTCTTACACACATCTTATCTACATATATAAGCAAGCTTATCGTTTCAGCGAAATATACAGTACCTCCCACATACACCAAGCGTACCATCTCAAACCCACACACACGCACCTCCACTTCACTCACACCCATGTAACTTCCTTACATTTTCTTACCTGCCACAGCCCAAGAAGTTCAGTAGTATTTGTACACGCTAACTCTACTGTGAGATTCTTCTACGCTTATTAAACCCACCCACACACCACTTCTCTCACACCCATGCCACGTCCTTTTCCTTGCACCCTCGTACCTGCCATAGCCCAAGGAGCTCAGTAGTATTTATACACGCTATGTCGTCCGTGAGATGCTTCTTCGCTTCTTAAACCCACTCACACACCTTCACTCCTCTCACCCATGCCACTTCCTTCTCCTTGCACCCTCCTACCTACCACAGCCGGAGGAGTTCGGAAGTAATTGCACCCGCGCACTCGTCCGTGAGATGTTGGTGGCGCAGTGTCTGGCCCCCACAATCAACACGTGCACAGACGGAGACTTTGTCAATCGACAGATCTTGGCCTGGTTCCCTCCCAAGGAGTTTGCTGATCGCATGAACAATGTATGTGTTCTAGTGTATAGAGTTTTAGGGTTTAGGGTTTCAAGGTTTGAGTTTAGGGCCTAGGGGTTCGAGTATAAAGTTTGTGACGAAGTGTTTGGAGGGTTAGGGTTCAGGGTTTAGGTTTGTGAGGCGTATGAACAGTGTATGAGATTTCAAATGAGAAGGCCTATGCTGAGTTCGGGGGCGACAGGGTATTTGTGCATTGAGGTTTGGGTTGAAGTCGATCACATAGTCTGTTGACCCGTGCCCTTTGATTGATTTCTAATTGGCCATTTAAACTCAAGTTTTAAAACAGACAAATCCCATCTGGTCTCAGCCACGCTCTGATTTTAGTCAGTATTGCACCAGTCAACCTGTCCTACTTTCGAATTGAGGGTTTTTCACTCATTCACTCATTCGTCATTCACTCAGTCGTCATTC